TGTGTGGGAAACAGTTTCTAAGTCAAACAAAAAAAAGAGAGAGAGAGAGAACATAACTGCCCGTAAGCCGTTCGTTTCATCCACCAATCATATTTCCTGTTGCCTCACTGTGTCAGAATTTTGTTCCTTATGTCTCTCAGGTTTCAAACAACTTGCCACCCTCACACACACACACACACACACACACACACACACACACACACACACACACACACTCCAATCCTTGTTTCCTCTGATCTGCCACCCCCTGCCCCTCCCTTTCCTTACACTCTCTCCCCTGCCTGTATCTCCCTCTTTCCACAGTTGTCCTCACTTACAGTATTAGGTTGCCCCGTCCTCAGAAGCAGAATTAGTCCCTGGAATCTCGCGCACTTGCTTCCGTCCCTCCCAGGAAAGAGGTGATGACATGAAGGGAAAAATCAGAGAGAATACAGAGAAATACAGAGCAGGACTAAAAGATATCTGAAAGGAGGAGGATAAAGAAAGAGACTGTGAGGAAGATGAAAAAGCTGAATAGTGGCACACCTGCTGTTTGATGTAGCTACGCTGTGGGCAGGTGGCTGTCTTCGCTGGGCATTTCCTTCTGCACTCTCTAGCTGACCGGTGTGAGGTCTGCACTCATGTTGCTGACTGCTGCTTTATTTATTTTGCCACAGTAATGTGAGTGTACTTTTATTCCCAGTAAAAGAGGACCTCTGTCTGTATTAGTTTATACTGACTGACACATTGACCTCTGGACTGTCTACTGGATGAAGGAGGAGCAGAGGCGACCAATGTGGAGCTCAGGTAAGACCATCACTGAATACTGAGCAATGCAAAACCACCTGTCACTGTGAACATTCCTCCTTTGATCAACATAAAATGAACTGAGGAGCTGGAAAAGCCAGTATCAGCTCATTATTGCAATATTCAGAGCAGAAAGAAAGAGTGATTGACAGTCTTATGCAAGACTGTGAGGGTTTCTCTCTTTGATGAAAAGTTGGGACAGTCTCTCGCAAACATCAGCACTCAGTGTCAGAAAAGACTACTTAGACCTGGTCTGATCTCTGACCTTTAACATACATCACTGGTATGACGAGCAATGGAAGAAATGAGAGGGAACAAAGGAGGAGAGAGACAGAAAGTTCAATTAGACTCAAATAATGAGGGCACTGTCTGTGCATTTCCCAATATTCCTTTATCTACATTGTTGCTTTATAGTCGAAACATCACTAATTACACCAATGACAGCTGTGATACTAGTGCGTGTGGGCACACACTGAATTACAAGCTTCAAATGAGTGTACAGCGCCACCTTAAACTGTTACAAAAAAAGATGTTGCAAAAGAAACAAGCAATTTAAGTAATTACACTCTCGTGGTCTTCTTTAGCAGATGGAGTTGACTCATTTGTTACCGTTTGATCCAAGTATGGAGCTCCAGTCACGTGAAGACAGCGGGTCATATAGACGTCATGTCGTCACATCCAGTTAGCTTCTGTTCCACTAGCTTCAGTGACTCTATGTAATCTCTCATTTAGCATATTTTCCATCGGTCATTGTGAAAAAACTAATTTCCTTGGCATATTTTTTCATATTCTGATACAAGCCACCAACCACTACAACACTTACTACTGAAAGATGCAACCTTTGTTTTGCTACAAGAGTAATTAAGGATTTATGTTTTTTAGAACCACAAAAACTACAGTTCCTGTGATTGCTTTGCATCATGGCTCCTCGCTGCGTTAACCGTGTGTTTCTCGTATTAGGTTCATCTCCCACAACTTTTTAAGTTGCAATAAAAACTAAAAAACTATGTAACAGTTACAGCCAAGTCTAGACTCAGGTCCTCAGTTCTCCCACCAGTTGACCATATCAGCTGATTACATTTCAGCCTCGACGGGCTCGTGCTTCTGGGAAATGGTGTTCATTAAATCCAGGTATAAACTGAAATATTATGTTAATGTCAATAATACATTGTTTTACAGAAAAAAGCCATTATAGTGTCAGCAAATGTAATGAAACTCAGAGCATACTATTGAAAATGGCTGTGTTCCATGGCTTTTTGGAACTTTTTAGTTATTAGCCAAATTAGAAATCTCAGTGGGATTTTAAATGGGGTTTTCTTTCTTCCTCAACACAACCCAGAGCTCCGCTTTCACTTTGGCTCTCTATACAGGAGGGGACCATAAAAAAACCTTCATCTCTCTCTTGGGGTTGAAAGATCAGAAACGATAGTGTGTGTCCCTGAGCTAAGATTAAATTTTTCTTTTGTCAAACTTCTGTTGGCAAGATCATGAATGAGCTTTCAAACCTGGTCTAAAATGACAGTTTTGAATCAAGTTGTGTTGAACCATTACATGAATTTTTGAGGTTTTCCTGTTTTCTGCATAAATACTGAAAGAATTAGCAGCAAGAAAGGTGTTAGCAACTTTGCTAAAACCTTTTTATTCACTTCAGAGTATATTTTGTCTTTAGACATTGACAATGACACATTCTAACCCCTAATCCCTAATAAGTATGTTTCATGTACACTACATTTGCTGGTGAATTACTTTCTACCTCTTCACTGTACAGGGTCATACTGTATGTGTGTATTTATGTACAGTGCGAGCTGATCATTCCCAGACTCCACTCTAGAAGCACCTATTTTAACCTCTGAGGTGTAGTAAACAGCTACCCTCCTCTGTACTGCCACCAGAGGAGAAACACACACTGTTTGTGACTTTATAACTTTGCATGATTTACAACCAAACAGTCTCAGTTAGTATGCTGGACCTTAGCTTCAGCTCTGAACAACTAAAGTCTCTGACCACAAAACACAACAGCAGATCCAGTACAAACAGTAAAACAACAACCACAACAACAACAACAAAAGACATAATATTGTTATATAAATCACCATGGTTCTTCAAACAGTAGCATGTTGTGGGAACATTTTATAAGTTGCTCTCATCTCTTGCTCATCTGTTTGCCTATTGTGACCTGTCTACCTAAACACACGCTTTAGGTTGTTTAATCAGAGTTATGCATCAGCTGAGGGCTTCATCAAACATATGCAGGGCTCCTCAGGAGTCACAGCTAACGATCATGGCTAAAATTAGAGTTTAACAAGCCTGCTGACACAGTTATTAGCCCCTGGAGTAGTAGGAGAAAATGATAGGATGGTTGAGGTCATATGCACATGTTTTTCACACACACAGGCCTACCGACTGCATGGCACTACAACCCTGATACAAACGTCTATTAATCCTATACACCTGTGGATATTTCTTTATGCAAAAGAAAAGTATGTTTATGTATAACAAGAGGATTTTAACTTTACTGTATGTGCTCTGTGTTTTAAATGGCGATACTGCTCTTCAGCTAAAGCATCTGCATACAGTAAATTAGTTTCCACAAAAGTCCTGCTATTGAAAAACAAGTCCATATTTCACAAATTCACTTTGAAACATTTTATTTACTTTCTATTTTATGAAAGCTTTAAGATTAATCTTAACTTTATTATTAAATCAGATTATGCGTTGAAATATCACAGCTATCAATTAAACAATGATACTTTAAGAGCGTAGTCAAAAGTCTGACTAAGAGCGATTTACCGTACTTTATGCTGTTTTCTAAATTCTGATCAAGCCATGGCGTAGCCAGTAAAGCCATCGTTTCACACGGCTTCTGCTCCAGTGTGTCGGCGCCTGAAGTTTGCTTTAGCTGAACTGAAATGCCTTATTTGAACTCATACTTGCAAAGCCATAATTAAATGTATTGTCTTCCTTCAACCTTTCAACCCTAACATAATTTTTTCTGAGTGTTATTACAGGCGAACAACTTAAAGTCTATCCCAAGAGACCCACACACAAGCAAACAGACACACATGAAGGACGGTGTGTCACCTGACGCCGTGGTCTGGTTTCAATTTCCAGTGGTGACATCCATTAAAGTCATGCTGTGTCTGACCCTCCAATCATCAGTACCTGGCCCATTGGCCACAACAATACACTTGCCTGCATTATTCAGTCCAGCTCCACTAATGAGGAAACCTTATCTCTCTCTAACACACACACACACTCCAGACATGACACAAGCTTAAATACACACACACACACAAGCTGACACACAGCATTATTTAATTTATTGCATATATTTATTTTTTGTTAAGACATTATGACCATGCTGCCTGATCCTGTGGCAAACGATTTGATTAGGTCTTGAATATACATTAGCACTGGCTCTACTTTGAGCACATTATATTTTGGTAAATGTACAGATGTGCATGCAGTATGCTGAGTTGTTGAGCTCATTCAGCACTCCCCGCCTCAGCCTGTCAAACAGCTGTCAGCATCCTTCACCATGCCGTTTCACCACATCTTCCACATTCCACACCTTGCACTTCCAAAACCAAGTCAGTCTGCATTAACCTCAATCTCTCCTCCCCACCCTTCAACGCTCCATTGAGTTTCTCATGCTGTCAGTCTCTGTCAAACCTTTGTGTGCTGTTTCTCTTTCTAGTCCTGTTCACAGGGTGGTCTGGAATGGCAACTACAGTGTGAACCCGACCAGCGTATGACTACGCTTTGTGTAAATAATCAACAAACAGGTAGAAAGGCAGACCAGAGCACATATCCTGCCTCATATTGGGGGAGGATGCTGTGAGGGCTGACATGAATATACATACCTAAGATAGGCTGCTGATGTGAAGTATGAGGCAGAAAATAAAGTGAGACAAGGAAAGAAATGAAGGAAAAAATCATCTATAGCAAACAGCAGAGAAAGAGTGACGAAGAGAAAGGGAGAGCAGAATCGACAGCAGCATTATCACTCTGCCTCCTGATTCAAACACTCAGAGAAAATGCTCAGCACCAATTGCACTCATTGGCCAAGCCTCTAGCCAATCAGAGCTCAGGAATGCAAGGTGCCTTTAGGTTATACCCAACCCCAAAACATGAGAGAGAGAGAGAGAGGGAGTGAGAGAGAGAGAGAGAGAGAGAGAGAGAGAGAGAGAGAGGCATGCTGTGGTGCAGTGGGTCCTCTCAGCTGTATTCTCTGGTGTTCCTCCTGCTGGAGTGAGTCTATAACAGTGACTGAATTACAGGGCTGTTGTGTTGCAGCCAGCGTTGCTGCTGCTGTGCTTCTCATTTGGCAACATCTGGCATAACAAGAGTCTTGTGCTGAGATCTGAAGGCGAGGGAGCATCTCATGTGGATGAAGGGAACAGAGCAGGAGAAGATATACAACGTAAAGATGCAAAGTGAAGGTTGCGATATTGAACGACGTTTCCACATTTGTGCTGAGTTTTGAGAGGCACAAAAGGTGGGCTGAGTGGGTTTGAGTCACCTCAGTAACTGATTGAGGAAGACAAGAGTTGAGCAGGAAGATAACGTGGCGAGGACAAGTTGACAGTGGAAGGATACAGGATGATTTTGGGTAAGACAGTGTTAGAACGCTTTTCTCCCGCTTTGCTCTTATTGATGTGACCGATGTGTTTCTTACAGTTACATTCCTCTTGTCTCAAGGTGATCAAGTTTGTGCCTGGCACAAACTTTTGGTTGGATCTGTTTATATTGATCAGTGGGCTACCCTGGTTGTAAAATCTGGGGTGAGCAAGGCTTATTTTGCTGTAGTTCATGTGAGGTTTCTGAGAAAACTTTATTTATGTTTATTTATGTGTTCATGGATCTAGCAGTCATTAAAATTATTCATATAGGAAATATAGGAAAAGACAGATAAGACATAAGCATCCCACAGAGAATGTCTAACATTGCTGAATGAATTCTAACTCTGCAACACACACACAAAGGAGGGCAGAAAGACAGAAAACAGCTAAAGATGGAGGAGTAAAAGATTAAGGGCCTTGTTTTGCTGTTAAAAGATCTAATCAGCACAACACCCTAAAACCAAAATTCAAATGCTGATACAATTTAGAAAGCATGCCATTATATCAAAGATACAGAGATCATATTTCATTTTAAGTAAGCTGACTGTCACTGAAGGCTTTTCTTGATTAAAGTTTAACTTCATTAAAAAAGTCATACGCTTATTCATTTGAATCAAGTAAAACATGTTAATAGGTTTCAGAGCTTTGTATCAAACCTGCAGGACTTGATTTTATATATCAAAATAAATCATGCAACAAAATAAATTTAGATTTGACTTGGATATATTGAGAGAGTATAATTTCTAAATATTTATGCACAAATTAAGTTATAATTGTGTTTTGTAAAAAGCATTCAGTGCAATCGGTTCAACACTGCAGAATATTATGGAAGGAGCTGTTCAATGTGTTCAAAGAAATAAATACACAAAAGGACACTGTGGCAAAATTAGTCAAACAAGATCCTGTAGTGGATTACTGTTATAACATTAGTGCAAATTGTTTTGATAAATTAATTTTGCTAATGTGACACAGTCATGTGGAACATTTTATCTTCACATTTGCAGTTTTAATATTTTATCTTGTCAGTTTACAGAGTATAATTCTTACTTTCAGAATAATTTTGAATAACTATAACATCCTTCTCCCACGTGTGTGTTGACAAAATATTTGACAACCTAATTTTGGGTCTTACTGTGATCCCAGTCAAATTTAAGCTTGTGGTAATCTCTTTCCTGGTGCACAAGTTTTAACTCTGTGTGCACTAGACACTGAACACCCTGACATTTGATCACATCAACTTGGGGTGACAGGGTTTTTTAGACTGTATTGGCTTCCCTTCAGTAAGTCAGAGTTGTAGATCCCAGGGACCGAAATAGTGTCAGAGAGAGGTGAGGACAGTGTTGACAGGCAAAGACAGAGGGCTGAACACATATATTCCACTCATATCCTTTCCTGTTGTCCATCATCAACAAAATCTCTGCCTCTCCAACGACAGCTACCATTTAAACACTGCATTTCACATTTTTACAGAAAGAAAATATTCAAATGTGTCAACACAATCAGCATTGGAGTATGAAAGAAATGTGCCAAAGCGGGCACAATTTAGAAACTCTGTGTGATTTTTATGATGAATATTTCAGACCCAGGTCTGAGGCCTTTACTTATTTAAAAATGAGCTAAGGCTTCCTTCAGTCTGATGCAAAGACCTCACTCAGCACTATGACAAAAGTCATGTCTCACCAGTATGACGTAATCTACAAATGCATGTATCTATGTGTATGTGTGTGTGCATATATATATATATATATACACATGTATACAGAGTACACACATACTGTACATACTGTGTATACACAAAAAGTTTGTATATACACAAAAAATGTCCTCACTCAGTGTCTTCAACAAGAATCATAGGTGCATGTTGTCCCTGATAAACAACATGACCTTTAAACTGAAGCAATGCAGTGACGGATGAAAAGTATTAGCATTTAAAACAGAGAAATATGCCTTTCACTCTCTATGTTTGGCAAAAACACATTTCAATCTAGTGCAAAGAAGAGAAGGTCGAACATCTCTGAACAGTATAACGTATACAGTCAGCCCTCACAGGAAAGAGCCTTTGGTTAAATGCCAAAAATGGCCTATGTTTAAAGTTACCCTATCTAATTTCTTTTCAGTCACTCAAAGATCTGGTGAATCCCAAAAAGAAAAAAACCTGGTGCTGTACTGTAAGTCTTTGCCCGTCGCATCATGTCCTGTTTCCCAGTGCCAACATATACTACAGATGCCTGGTTGCGACAGACTGTACAAAATGCTGTCTCAAGTCCAAATCTAGCGTTAGCTGACTAATGAGTAAATTTGTCATTGCACTGCTAATGTGACACAAAACACTAATTTTACACAAAGCTCAAATTACTCCAAAATGAAAATCATATAAATTCAATACAAATGTAAACTCATGACCATGCTAGTTCGCTGATGTTACAAAAAATTTTGTATATTATTCAACAACCCACACAGCAATTATCATAGATGTAGGACAAATTGTGCACTCAACAAAGAAGTGTGGCTGACTTGACTGCAGTGTAATTTTTAAGAAGACCAAATACACACATATTAGGATGTGCAATAATACACAAATTTTATTTTTTTAGGTCTATTAGTAAACACCCAACCAGACTTTAAATGTCCATCTTGGCCACTCCAAGCACCTTTACCGTAATCACATGAAAAGAAGCACAACATAAATCAAACAGGAGCTGGCTTGACCAGGTTTTTGCAATTGATAGCTCACTTGACCATAGTTAACATCATCCCATTTCTGTGTCTTCCAACCATTTCCAAATCCAACCTACTTCTTCCATGTGAAAACATGAAATTCAAGAAAATGTGTGGTTTGTCCAATCTGGGGTACCATGAAAGAAAAAAAGGCGTCTTCAATGATGGGGGACCCACTCCTATGTAGATATAAAAAACTTCTAAGCTAAAGAAAACACATCAATTCTTATTTTCTGGTGATTACACATTAAAAAATATATTTGATAATTATGCATAATGTAGCCCATTTCTGCTAATAACTCTATATTTTACAATTTGCACCTTTAAATGCTAATACACCCAGAAGTAAGAATGCTACATTTGAATCCAATTTGAGTCCTTTGGCTGCTTTTAACCCTTTCCACCTCTAAAAGCCAAACCTATGTTAACCCTGTTCTTTTGCTCTTTATTTGCCACTCTGTGCAAAACACCACCACCTCTTTGTTCTGGCAGGCACTGGTTGGACATTTAGCTGATGACAGGTCCTTTGTGGCTGGCTGTTTCAAACGACTACTCATAGTAAAAAAAAAACACTTCTTATAACCTTTGCTAGGTGGTGGGTGGGACTAATGTATGGACCAGATTTTGAAAACATGGGGTAGAAAACTGGAATAACACCAGTGCTATAGGCAGCAGGCTGTCATGGATGGGGGTAGTATTGCAGAGAGACACAACACCCTGGCCCATTTTCACTTGATTTATCAGACCATGTGTTAAATCTTAGTTAATGCGTCTTATCTGATTATGTGTATGATGACTCTCATCTGTCAGGAGTAATGGAAAATATAATGTGACTGTATTGTTAGCAGCCTTTTAAGGAAACCCGGGTAATGTATGGGTAAACAAAGCTTGTGGCTTGGATATGGCACATTTACTCATGACAGTCAACATTAAGCATGATTGCAGTCTTTCACTCTTAAAATAAGTATTCTATTTTTAACCATGACTGTGGTCTTTTAACCTTACACTGGGATCAGACTACATGATATCACTCCAATAGTAGAAGTTACCCAATAAAGCAGCATGACATCATGACAAAGAAACTAGTGTTCACCTAGTTTAACAACTCCTACTGCATGAATGACCCAAAAGAGTAAATCTTCCATGCACAACAGTAAACATGTTGGAGCAATAAATGAATCACTGGTGCTAAGAATTGGTCCCGGAATATCTGTTTTACAGCTACTCCTTTTCAGTATGCTCATCACCAAGGTTATAAAGATGGTAAGGTTACTATGTGCAATCTAGTCTAAAGTGAGTTTGTGAAGTGGCTGCTGGAACACTGCAATTTCCCTTTGGGTTTTATAAATCTATCTATTGATAATTTTGATAGCATAATCAGACATGAAGAGCCTAGAGCCATGCTAGCAGCTCTGTGAAGCTGCACTTAGGCATACTTGAGCTAAATGCTAGCCCAAATTATTTTAGTATGTCAGCATGTAAACATTTGCTAATTAGCAGTAAAACAAAGTACTCATGAGGCTGATGGTAATGTCATTTGTTTTGCAGGTGTTTGGTCATAAACCAAAGTACAAATGAATTTCTTACCTGATGATGGTACTAGGGGTGAAGTTATTATAATTCATTCTGTATGAGACATGTCTATAGTATATAAAATTTTATATCTACACAAACCCAAAAATGTTAGCCTCATGGTAGTACTCACTGAAAAGTCATTTAGTTTGAAGGACTTGTCAACCATAACCATAAAAGAAGAAGGCCTTTAAGCTTACAGCACAAAACGCTAACACCAGTTATTTACTGGTTTCAAAGATGCCAAAAGAGGCAAGAGGGCCACGCTGAAGCATAAAACCACACACCAGTTCCTTCCAAAAATATAACCTGCAATTTCTGCTTTTGTGGAACAAAACCATATATGATATGTATCCAGCTGCATGCATCATCTCTTTACTCTATCTTGATTTTTCTATTTATCAGAGATTAAGTGTTCCTTGCCTTTGCGTGTTCTCCATTGTATAAAATGATAAAAAGACACCTGGCTGTTGTATGACAGATGCCATTGTTGTGTATATGTGTGTTCTCTGTTTACATGTGCGCTTGCTTGTTTACTTTACATTCTCAGGTTTCTGTAGGTCTGTATCTGCAGCTGAGTGCACTTCCAGCTCCCATCTCCCAGCAGGTGTGTAAATGGTTTGACAATCAGGATAATAATGTGGGGCAGGGCTGGCAGTCATGTTGACATGGTAGATCTCTGGCCAGCCCTCACATAGTT